TTCATTTGGTTACTGATAAAAATTAAATTCTGGAAATCAAGTCTTTAATCTCAAATCAAGATCACTTAAGAGGAGATTTCCAAGTCTCCCACTTCAGCAACCTTAAAGTCAGCACCAGAACATTATTTTTAAAGGACTGGTGCTGGTGAAAGTATTAGTGAAGGAGAAGCACAGGTCTGTCTAGTTTGAAAGTGGAGGGACAGGGAGCAGATTCATGAATGAAGAAACAGGAAGATGGCCCAGCAGGAGGGACTTGGCATATTTACAGCAGAGACACTGTTCAATAGGCTTTGTTATCATTAGAAAGTTCCTATATCTTTTGGTAGAACATTTGTCAAAGCCAGCATGGAAAAGAAGACCACCAGCTCAAATATAAACACCCACAAGCACAGCAGCATTACCATAGAAATAACCAACTAAAGGTGAAGTTCAAACCCCCCTCTCTTGCAGCAGACAGACAGCATGGTTACTGTAACGTCCCACTGGAGGAGACCGGTTCTGGCCATGCCTAAACAAGCCTGCCTAGCACATAAGGTAACTGATACGGAGACAGGAGATGTATGGCTTTCTAGACATGAAGACCACAGATAATCACCAATCCTGAACAAATGGAGAAACTCTCATCTGCACACAATGTAATATACACAAGCCCAGACCAGCGTGGCATCTTGCTTCTACAGTATGCTACTTCTATGGTATGTACTAGACCTATGAATCAGTAAAACTTTTTAAACAAGGCTTGAACACACTTGGTTCCTCATTGGAATTGTTTGTTTGTTTGCATCATAAAATACAACAACGTTTCACTACTTAAATACTCGGGACTTCTTTCTCCTGGCCCAAACCACATTCAACTAGAGGCGAAGCCCACCAGCTATGGTGAGAAGTATTTGCAGCATCTTACTCTGACAGGACATCATGACTCCGAGAACTTTACCCTCTGCTGCTTAAAGCAACTGAAAAAAACCTCTTCCACATAATACATGGCACCTCTAATAGCTCTGTATTTAGTATTTCTTCAGTACATTTTCAATATATTTAACTTCTACATCCAAACAACAGTTCATTAAATACTGTCTCTGAGATTTGTGAAATAAAACTGAACATACTTGATGAATCGTACCTGACCAGATACAATTCCTGAGTAATTTGGCAAAATGCCAGGAACGTTCATCAGTTATATTAAATTAAAAAAAAAAAAAAAAAAAAAAAAAAAAAAAAAGTCAATCCTATTTCCTACAACTACTAGTTTTATACTTGCTAGTAAGGAGCATGTGTGTGTGGGAAATGAGGTAAACTGCTTTTTCCATTACTTGATAGTACATCCAGCCTTCTGGGTACCAGAAAGTCAGCTTTTCTATTACTTTGACTCCTGTGTTTGAGACTCTACCCTTTCTTCTGCCTCCACCTGAGTTCTCAAGTAATCTCTGGACTGCCTAGAAATTATGTGTGTCCAAAAGAATTATATTAACTCGATTAATTTTAAATGTTCAAATGGATCAAAAACAAAAAGGGAAAAATGTAGAGATCCACTTTTCTTCTAAATTCGACAGAAACTTTGAGCGAAAGAACAGGATCATCCACCTGCAGGTTTAACAGCAAATAGTTAAAACTGTAAGAACAAGCTAGAAACTTTCTTTTTAATGGAAGTGCAAGTTTAAGCAGAATGGTGATCAATAATCCTGTGGGTGTTTTTTTTATTCAAACTAATCACGCAGATCCCCTTCTCTTTGTACTACAGGAACACTGAATTGTAAAATGCCTTTCAAATTGAAAAATGTTTCTATTAGAACCTCCACATACCTGTAAAGTGACTAGAAGAGGTCAGTCTAGTTAGTGTGTTGCAACATGGAAAGGCAAAGTGCACACGCTTCTGAACTCAGAATTTGTCAGTTCAGTGGAAATGCTGGCTTGCAAGCAAATCCATATGCACAAGGAATGTACTGATCATGTTTACTACAAAGCAAACCAAAAAAACCTCTGAAAACTAGTTATTCCCTTTTGCTATGGAAAGCTGGGCAGCTTCATGTAGACCTTAACATTTAAGTTTTGTGTTACAGGCATACTTAAAAATGGTAAAGAAATGAGGCCTCATGAATTTAAGAGACACACAAAATCAGTTTGCCTTTTCCCACTTTATGCTTCACTTGCAAAAATACAAGGCTGCTACCTACTTAACTCCTGTCTTTACTACCTCCATGAAAATAAGAACGTGAATGATTCTGTGTTTCTGTAAACAACCTGTGTACCAGTAATTTACCTATTTGAAGGGCAAGGCATCCTTTCAATACCACTTGAGCTGCTTCCCAAAGCATCTGCTGAAAAAAAAAAAATCTCATCCAGGCATGCCCAGTTCCATGGCCCGGGCCAGGAGACAGCATGTGCCAACCCGGGGCCAGACAATTAGACCACCTCTCGTTAGCTGGCCAGGGGCTCAGGGGTCCCTCGAGGAGCCAGCTGCCCGAGCAGACTCAAGCTCCTCCTGCTGCTGTTCAGCCACCCACGGGCCAAAGGAAGAGGCTGCAGAGGATATGGCATAATGAAGGGTTACAGGCTCCTGAAAAGAAGGTGTAGACCAAGGAGAAGCTGCAGGAAGAGAGAGGTGGAGTGCCGGCACAGGAGTAGGGAAGTAATGTTTCTTTGGACATGCATTGATAAATGGGACTTCCTAAGAGGTGTTTCACTAATTCAAGTCAAACACATAATCAAGACTTCACGAAGTAGGGTCATTATCCAAAACAAGGCAGACAAGTTCATTAGCCAAATTTTCAGTGTGATGAAAGCCAGTTTCAAGCATTTTCTATTCACCACACATTACAAAGACACCTAATCACAGGGCATTCTTAATACTAGACTACACATCACAGGCTCATCCCTGCCAGATATACAGGAAAACATCAAAATGTCGCAATAATTTTTAGCCTACCCAGTACTTGAAACTCTTGTAGTCTTATTAAAGATTTTCAATTTAAAAAAAAATAAAGGATAAAGTTAAAATTGCCTCAGCCTACAGAAATCTGCTTGGACTGGAGCACACCTTTCTCTTCTCTAACCTGAACCAAATTCTGAACTCTCGTATGCTGAGCCAGCATTTTCTCCAGAGAAACTCTTATTCTTCCCTTGTTCCTGCCCTCCACAAAAATACTCAGATGACCATGCACCAAGCCCAGAAACGCACCCCCAAACCCCAAAGCAGTCAGTTTTAAATACAGGCAGGCTCCCTGACTCAGTTTGTCTCATAACCACTCAGGCCATCCTCAATGCAAAGGAAGATGGGTGAGTGAGCAACAAGGCCACTATTTTCTCAGTTCATAAAACATCAAAAATTACACACTTAGTGCAAGGCCATACCAACTCCCAAGCAAGGCTGAATCTTTTGAAGTAGAAATAAGCTGTACAGTTCACTGTATCTATTTTTTAAACCTAACTTTAGCTGCATGTCTTGTGATGACATGCCTGTACACAGGGAATTCTACTTCCACAGATTTATTTCATTTTCACATTTTTGATAGAAGTTACAGGGGATTACACATATGTATCTCTGGAAGGATCCAAAATAGTAGTCGAAGCCTCTCTGAAAGAAGACATGAGATTTTTAGGCAAAACTGACTTTTTTGAGAGAAAACAATGCAATCCTTGACCCAGGTAACAGAATCTTCTAAACAAATCCACTGAAGTTGCTCACTAACGTAATTCTGTCATTTTCAATTCACCTCAAGTCCTTACAAAGTTCCTGCAACACCGCATCAAAGCCGAAACAAGTTCCTTACTAACTGTGCATGTTTTGGTGGTATTCAGGCTGTCCGCTCTCGTAATCTCATTCTAAAAACCAGGTTTATTGCCTAAATTCCACTGCAGTTTCTTTTATCCGTACGCCATTTGCCACCCAGAAAAAAAAAAAAAGAATGTCAAACTTTCAACAGGAGTTAGCCATAAGTTAAACTTCGGAAAGACTTCAAAACCTTCATCCTCCTCCACTTCCTCCTGTGAAAGCCATCTTCCCCACTGGCCAACAAACCTGCTTACTGCCTTCAGTACGGGTCTGAATTCTAAAAAAAAGAAACGAGAAGGAAGGAGAGCAAGGGAGGGCAGCTCAGCAGAGCGGCTGCAGGGAGCGAGCCGGTGAACGGAGCGGCCGCGGGGGTATTTTCACGGGGCCGCCCCTCGGGCCCGGCCACGGGCACCGGCTCGGGTGGGCGAGCAGGGAGACGCGGCCGTTCCTCCGGTCCCGCCGAGGTGACAGGCGCCCCTCGGCCCGGCCTGCCCCGCTGGGAAGGAGCCGGCAGCCGGGGCCCGTGGCCGGTAGCCCGGACCCCCCCAGCCCGGGGTGCGCCGGAGCGGGGGCCGCCGCCTTCCCCCCCCCCCCCCCCCCACCCCCACCCCGCGGCCCAGCCCGGGCCTCCCGCCCCGCTACTCACCAGGATGCGCTTGAAGAGCGCGTTCTCCTTGGGCGGCAGGCTCACCGACGGCATCCTCCCCGCCGCTGGCTCCGGTGCCGCCGAAAAGGGGAGGGGGGGGGGCGGGGAGGGGGGGAGAGGGGGGAGGCGGGCGGGCGAGCCGCGTCCCGTCCCCGCCGCTCTGTCGCCGCGGCCGGGAGCCTTCCCGCTGGAGCGCTGACTGCTACCGCCACCCTCCCTCCTCTCCCCCCACCCACCCACCCACCCCCCAGCCCCCTGCCCTCAAACCGCCGCGCTCCCGTCGGCCCGGCCCCTCCCGGCACCCGCCTGCCCGCCGGGCTGCCCCACGCCGGGCTGCCCCACGCCGCGCCGAGCCCCGGGCGGCGGCTCACGTGGTAACTGAGCAGGCCGGAGAGGGAAAGAGAGAGAGAGAGAGAGAGAGGGAGAGAGAGAGAAGGCGCCGCCAAAATGGCCACCGCGGGCGGGCTTCCCCAGCCGGGTCACGGCGGCCCACGCGCATGCGCCGCGACCCCACGCCCGCCACCTCCTCCCGCGACGGGTGGGCCGGTTCCCCCCGGCTCGGCCCCGGGGCGGGGACACCCCCCCACGCGTACCCCCGCCCGATCCGCCCGGCGCGGTCGCTGGTTTAAAGACCCCCGAGGGGCGCCGTGCTTTTGGCTGACGCGCGTGGGCTTGAGGAAGAAGCGGCGGGTGGCAACAGCAGCGCCGGTCCCACGCGCGGAGGGGACAGGGCTGCGCCGCAGCAGCAGCCAGCGCGGCTAAACGCGCCCCCCGCACCCCCCCCCCCCCCCCGCGTGGGGCGGAGCTGGGGCTGAGGCGACAAGATGGCGGCGGTGCTGAGGGCCGTGAAGCGGGGGCGGCTGGTGGTGGGAGCGCCGAACCTCGGTCAGCAGCGGCGGTGGGGCGGCCTGGCGTGGGGCGGGGCGGCGGGGAGCTCGCCGTGGGTTAAGTGAGGGGGGAAGTTTGTCGTGCTCTTCCCCCCCCCGCCACACGCGCACACGCACCCCGGAGCGGTGCGTGGCGCTTGACCCGACCGCCGTGGGAGTGCGGCTGCTTGCGGGGACCGTGGCCTTGTCAGCTGGAGCGCTCCTCGCTTCCTGGCTGGAATTACAGCCAGCTGCAGTGGCAGTTTTCTTCTTTTTATTTTTTAAATATAAATCAGTTATACTTGTATATGTATTTATTTTCTCAGGGGACAGTAAGAGGTGGCGCAAGTGAACGGCGTGGAAGGATGCGGGGTTTGTGGCCAAAGGGGAAAAGGGAACTGCTTGACAGCACCCCATCCCTTCTCCCTCGGATTAGGGAGTGTGTGCTCCAGTGTATCTAAAAATATATAACAAATAACATCATTATAAGGGCCACTTATGCACGGCAACTACATTTGTTTGGTTGTTGTGGTGTTTGTTTTTTTTTTTTCTCCTCCTGATTGTATGAGTGTCAGTAACTGACTTGGTAGAGAAATGTTAACATGTTTGTAATCTGCCTTTTTAGATTTTACTCGTTCTGCGTTTGTTGCAAAAAAACATACTTATGACCAGCCAAACTGGTTTAGAGTCGGCTTGGCTTTTAGCACCACTGCTGCCTTGTGGGCTCTTGTAAGTGTTTTCAGTTGGTTTTGTTGAATTTAACTGTTCCCAAGCCATAGTGATCTGAAGGCAATGACTACAGCCTACTTAACTGATTGGGGTAGTGGGTGGTCATAGCAGGTGTCAAGATTTAAGCATGGTATGTTGATTTAGTTTTTTCCCAAATCTACGTTGCACTTTTCTTTATAAAAATGAAGAATTTATTAAGCTTCTCAGTCTGTTGCAAACTTAAAATAGCCACAAAAGGATAATTAATTCTTCAAGCCTGTTGGTTTAAGGCTTTAATGTTATTTTCCCCAATGGATCTTAAAAAAAAAAAAAAAAAAAAAAAACAACAAAAAAAAAAAACAAGCCAAGGGATCCACCTAAATAATGTGATGTTTATCAGACTAGTATTGCATTCTCTCCTCATTTTTCAGCTCCAGTCGATTAAGATGCCCTTTTTGTGAGCAAAATGCAGATGTAAGATGACCCCTGTTTCAGATGACACACAGGCTCACTGTTAAAGCAAGCAGCCTGTCCTAGTTCTTGCAACAAAATGTGCAGGATAAGCAACACTCCCATGATGACAACACTTTTCAGGGTGGGGTGGATTCCCTTTAGGGTTTTCACCATTTTTGGGGTGGTGGTGGATTGATTGACAGTTGAACCTCCCTCCTAACCCCATCTGCCATCAGAAGATGTTTGAGTAAGGTGTGGGGGAAAAAGCCTCACTGGTTAGTTGATAATTTATGCATAACTTATTCTATATTGTCCTAGTTAGGTATTGGTTTACGTTCCTATAATATGAAATTGGTATTCTGTATAAATCTTTTTGTGCTCTGGTTCCAGCTGTGCATTGTATAGCTGCTTATCATATGTTGCTATCTTACAGCTTTTCAAGCAGCATAATGAAGATGTAAAGGAATATGAAAGAAGAAAAGAAGAGAGTCAGCATAAGTGTACAGGATGTTCATAGTAAGTATGAACATAGAGATGCTTTTGACTCGGCTGAACACAAATTCTGCAGATTTTTTCCTTCTGTTAGCAATCACTATATTGGACCGACTTATTCTTCCCATATTATTTTCCTTAATGCTTTACATCTTGTCTTTTGCTATTTTTCTAACTCATTCCCAGTTTTAAGTGGTAAGGTGACTGATCTATAGTGTCATACTCATTTGTGTGCATATTCACTACAGCTTTGTGTCTTAGACATACAAATTTTTGAAAAATAACACGTATCTTACAGTGTCTATAATAAGTTTAGGTTGCAGACAGAATACCTTACAAGTGCTTTAGTAGCAAGGAGATCAAGATCCCTAAACATAGCTTATCTTTGCATCTTTTTTTTTTTATTATTATTTTAACAGGTCTACAGTGGGAAACATTTTTCTCATTTTCACTTGTATATTACACAGAAAGATGATATAAAATCAATGCCTGTAGACTTGCGCTATAGTGCAAATTGTATGTGTTCATTGTCATTTTCAATGTGAAAAACATAATTGTGTTTCTGCCAGCTAAAAGGTCAATTTGGGATTATGGCCTCAGAGCAATTAATATGCCACATGAAAGAATTGCTTATACTAGGTATAGAAAAACTTGTGCTTATTTTTTTCCAGAAATATTCCTCTCCAGATAAAAATATAGTATGTTGTGAGATGTTTCTAACCACATTCATTATTTTTCTTGTTCCTAAGATATTTTTTTTCCTTTCTTAGGTTGACAGTATGGTCAGTAAGAAATAACATGATCGCCAGTTGTACAACAAATAACTGTGCACAGCAGAAGTACAAAGTATCTAAATACTTCTATGTTCATACATTTCATGTGTAGAATTAAGAAATAAATTAAAAAGTCTGGAAGAAACTTGTGAAGACTTTTCTTGCCATTTATATTTAATTGTGCTGGTCTTGAAATTGTTTTGTGTGGCATTTCTGTGTCATAGTTTATCAATGCTGTTTTGAAAACTTTGTTTTTCTGGAAGGTATATTACAAAATTAGACATCTGTTCAGAGAAAGTTCAGGAAATATTTCCTGAACAGTGTACTGTTGCCCTGCCATCATTTTCATTGCTAAATTTATAAACTAAGTGATAAGCAAATATAGGAATGGGATTTATGGGAAACTTAGTAAAACTAAGCTGTACAAATGCCGAAATGAGCATTTGCTACTTCATGCCTCAAAGCAGTAGCTTTCAGCTCAGTCTTGACTGGGTAGACTTTCAGGGCCTGACCTAGTGACATAGAGATGCCATGATTAAAGTTGCGTATCTGTTTCCAAGCTTGATCTAGTTCCTTGAGTGCTGTTGTTCTTCAGTCCTTTGTGGTCTGAATTGATTTTATTTCTTTTTTTTTTTTTTTTTCCCCCTCCTAGAGCAGAAATGAAGCTTTGTCAGGGACAACAAAAATCAGAGGAGGACAACCTTTAAGTTCCATGTGGGTCTTTATTCTTTTTTTTTGTCAGGAAGTTTACTTTGCTTTTGCTGCTGCATGCAAAGCTGAAATGTATTCTGTATTTTCAGAAAGGGAGGACAAAAGCTCAGTCTTGAATCTTGGAGACTGTTTAACTGGCCTGCAGCTCATGAGCCTGACCCTTCACAGGCCTTCCCCTGTCTGCATTTTTGGAATTACTCACTGCCTGAAACAAAAAAAAAACTAAAAAGTCCCCCACCTGCCCACAGATACTGGTCTCTAGCACCAGCGCTGCCTTCTGAATGTTTACACATTTGCCTTCACTGGGTGCATCAAGGTCAGTCAAGGACAATGGACAGGAAAAGGAGATAATGACAACTGGCAGCATATGGCATTGAATAATCACGGGGAGACCATCAAAGTGGTGCACAGGGAAGGGACGAGCAGGGCAGCTGTGCAGCTCCGGCCCTGAGGTGCCCAGGACTTTAACAGGATCCCACTGCAGGGATTTCCCTCCTCGTGTTTTTGCTACCACCAGGGACCTCCTCTGTCCTGGTGCTTCCCCTGAGTGCCCTTTGCCGTGAATTTAGTTGGCTTCTCCGGGCCTTCCCCCCTGGAATCGTTGGCAAAGGAACGCTCTTGGCTTTCCCCTTTCAGTAGAACAGCAAGATGTCCCTCACCATCTTCACGCCCCCGGGGTAAACGCAGTCCTTGCTCTCTTCCCTCAGATTCCGCGTCTGTTGGGTTTTCGGTAATTCCCGCCCACCCCCTCCCCGCAGGCCAGTTGAGTGTTTAATTTCGCGGCGCTGCGTCCCGCTCCGCGGCCGCGCAGCCTCCGCTCCCCGCCGCCCCGGGACACCCTGTGCGGCCGCCGGCGAGGGGGGCGTGGCTAGATCTGGCCCCGCCCCCACCAGCGGCGGCCCCGCCCCGCCGCACCGGGGAGGGGCGGGGTCTCCTGCCGTGGCCGCAGCCCCGCGCTGTCCAGCACGCCGGGGTGCCCGCTCCGCGCTTCTCCGCGCCGCTCCGCGCCTCCCGCCGCCATGTATCTCTGCAGGGCCGCCTCGCAGGCGCTGGCTTCTCGCCTGAGCAGGGCTCCCTCTGCTGCGAGCCGCCTCAAGCAGCGTGGTACGCGGGGGCCGCCTCGGAGGTCGACCCGGGGAGGGGGGGAGGCCGGGTAGAGGTCAGCGGGACAGCGCGGGGCGGGACGCGCCGGGGCGGGTGACGGTAACGGTGACGCGCCGCCGCTTCTCGGTGGCGGGGGGGGGCACGCGTGAAGGTCGCGGGGGGCCGTGGGGTGAGGCGGGGTCCCCCCGCGGTGTGTGAGGGGAAGGGTGGGAGCCGGGTGCGGCTGCTCGGTCGTTGCCCCCGCCGGGAAACCTCCGGCGGGGTCCCGGGGCCGTGCTCGGCTGGGGGTGGGGTTCGCCCTTGGGAGGGGCGGCTGCGGTGTGGGGCCGTGTCCCCCCCCCCCACTCTCCTCCGTGGAAGCTGGATCGGTGTCGCTGGCAGATGTCACCGCCCCTCCCGCACACAGGGGGCCGTTGTCTTCACTTCCACACCCCCCCTCCCCAACAAAAAAAATAAAAAGGTTAAAAGGCCCCCCCTTAGGTGGGTGGCCCAAGCAGTGATGCCCACCGCGGTCTGTAGGTCGGAAGGGAGGGCGAATCAGCCTGGTTGTGTTGCAGCCGTGGCTTTTGGCGCATCAAGAATTGTGTAACCGGTAGCAAAAAAAAAAAAAAAATATTCCGGCCGTGTTGGATGATTGCAGGGTGATTGAGCGCTCTCCTACCTACAACGTGCAGCCTTGGAGAAGAAGGTATTAATGAGAAACTACTACAGGACGTATAGATAAATGTAAGAAGATCCATTTAGGACGTCCGAATGTTGATGACGAGTCTGAAAAGTGTATCATGAGACAGATGATGCTAAACATAATCTGGCACACGGTGGCAATATTTTGAGATTGAGACTATTTTTGTGGCTATGGATTGCAATGCTCAGAGCCATTTTGTGTTCAGTGAGCACCCTTTCAATGGAGCGTTTCTCATCTGTGCTACTCATCTGGGATGAAGTAACAAAATTCAGCTGAAAGCTTTTTTGACCAACAGGATTGCGTGTGTTTTTCATGGGTCTCTTTTTGAGAGGTATGGAAGAATCCAAGGCTATAGCAAACATCAAAACTACAGAAACAGTGGACAAAAATAAGCAGGTGACACTGTTATTATAGTGAATACGTACTCGATCAGGGATAAAATTGTGTAATCCTGCCTGTCTGCCCTATTGGCCAATACTTGAGGTTATGGGCATGTATGTAAATGTCAGCCATCTATTTGAGAATGAAAGAACGTGAATGTGATAGAACAGACTTTTTCTTGAAGCACTCTGTTACTAAACTAAAGTGGATTTGTTACCTCTGCTGATCACGACTACGGCAAAACTGAATAAGGACAGATAAATTCTTTTACATACCTTAAGCAGGAACTTTTTTACATTTTTTTTTTTTTTAACATTCCCGAGGTAGTTCCTTAGTCTATATAGAGACTGCATCCCATACTTGGAAACTGATAGGCATACAGCATATTTCAGTAGTTCACAGAAAATCTCATACTCTTAGGAAGAGCTCAGCCATGTACCTCTCAGACTGGCACCACGCCCTGTGTCACTCAGTTGTACTAAACGTCACTAAGCTGTAGTTCACTGTTTTGTTACACCTTTTAAAATCCTTTCCCTATACATCATTCAGATTCCGTCGTTCTATTTTGTGATCGTATTTTAGCAGCACTTTACATCAATTTCAATAATGGTTTTTGTAGCACCTCTCCGTCAGATGTCATCTGGGAGTGTTCCTGGCTCTTCTGGAGAGAACATGATTTACTATCTCCTTGCTGGTGTTGCTGCTTTTGGTGGTTTATTTTATGTAAGTGTTTGGGAATGGAGCTCTTTGTGCTGTCTGAGTTGGCATGGTATAAGGTGTGTTCTGGATTGAAGAGTACGGTCAAGTCGCAAACCGTCATTAGAATGTGGATTTCATAGCATATAATTAAATACAGTCTAAACTAAAAATCAGTCCAAGAGGACTAGGGAAGCTGAATGCCTATTGCTTGCCTGTTTTACTGTTACTTTGGTATCTAGTGCTGTTGTCATTCTTAGTGGAAAGCATATTTAAAACTATGTGAAATGAATGTGTCCAAAGATGGAGGAAGGCACCTGCCTCTAACCCCTTGCCTCTTCTTGTCAACCACAAACATTAAGAGTATGTCAGAGTGGGCAAGATAGATGTGAAGTAAACTGTCTGAAGCTGCAAGGGGAAGATTAGGAACCTCGTTAATCGGGGCACAAAGATAAGAATATTAGTTACTTAGAAAAAAGCATGTTAAAGTTCTGTAAACATTTACTTTTGTCAGGCTTTTCAGTAATCATTCTCTTCCCTGCCTTTAAACATACTAGACTCTGTGCTGCATGACTCTAAAATCTCTACTTCATGGCTTCCTTCCACCCCCCAACACCCCCCACCCCCACCCCCCCCAGATTTGAGAGATAGTGAGATAGTGACTAGCACATCCCAGAGATGTACGTGTTTCCCTCTCCCACAAAATGATTGTCTGGAATGGTAAGCAGCTTCCACTTGTTCAAAATACCAAACTTGTATGATTGCATATCTGGAGGAATAACAAATTCTCTTGCTGTTACCTTTTCACCATAGTTTTTTTTTTAAAAAATAATGTGACTGTAATTGTCTTCTAACGTACTGTGTTCAGTTCCTGAAACACTGCAGCACTTTGAAGGCTGCATGGTATATTGTATTTGCTTTCTAACAGTGGAGAAATATGAAATGGATAAAAACGTTCCTATAGCAAAATAGATATTTTTTAATTTTTTTTTTTTAACCTTACTTAGTATAATTTGATATGCCTTTTAAGATGAGGAGTAGCACTTCCGTAAAATCCCTTGTCTCCTCCCTTCTTTTCGTTTGGCAGCTTTCTAGGGATATAGCAATAAGTTTAGGTATAATTTCCTTTCAGGCCTACAGAGTAGTCAGTTCATCTCGCAGCAACTATATTGAACACATGAATATTCTTCAAGAGAGAGCTGAGGGGCGGAAAAACAAACCCGGGTCAAGCAAGGGTGAGTTGAACTCTTCTCTCTTGTCCCCCAGGTACAGGAGGATCTGGAACAGTTTTCTAGAATGTCTGGTCAGGCCTTAGGCCTGTCCGAGTCCTTGTCTGAGCTCTGCAAGTGGGAGAAAAGACAAAGGTGGTTGTGCAGCATTCGGTTACAGAGCTCCTTCTGCACAACTTTTGGGAATGGATGTTATGTTTAGGCGGTGAATCTAGCCTCTGATCAAGGAGTCTCTTTGGATGGAAAGAGTTGATCTGTGAACCATTAACTGTATATTGGGTGTTTGGATTTGATTTACTGGAAGCTTAATGAAACTTGACTAAATGCATAATGCTGTCAAAATCAGTTCTGTTCTTTTGTTTGTTGGGGGGGAAGGAGATAATATCTTTTTCTCAGTTAACAGTTTCGCTCCAGGCCACATGCCATCAGGGAGCACAATTCAATAGGAAAAACCTACGTTTTTTAAAAAGATTGTAAATTGGACCTATTCTTGTCCCACAACTTTGATTTTGTCCTTTTTAATTTAGGATTAAGTGACAAACAGACACCACCTAAATGTATGGCAAATTCTTACTTAGCTCTTCATGCTTAAATAATTAGACCATGTTAGTTCAAATACTTGTAAAGGAATGTTGTCTCTGTCCCCATCAATTAGTGTTACGGCGGCATTAATATAAAAGATAGAACTTTGGCAAGCATGGCCTTACTACAAAAAGCAATTAGAAAAAAATGACTTCTTAAAGATTGTTACATTTTTATGTAGTTATTTAAAAAATAAATAAATTAATGAAGCCATAGCACTTGAAGCTCTTCCTTATTTTTTTCTGATGTTGACATATAGAGAATTGATTTAATATATTTGCATGCACACAAATAATAGATTTGAATAAAGTATGCAGAGTTTAAGTTTTGTTTTCAATGCTTTGAATTGTCTGCCTCTAAAATAATTTCTTTTGAAGTTGTTAGTCTTGAAGTTCCACAGTACATCCTTTAGTTTTAGAACTTTAAAATGACAGATTTTAATATCTAAAATGGTAAAAACACCTTAATTTTCTTTCTTTTAAGCGGCTGGAACCAATAGAGTTTTTAAACTTAATTCTATAAATGCAGAGAATTTGGCCACAATTTTAATGCAATCTTTCCTGGTCCCTAAAATAAAAAATCTAACCAGGACCAAAGTAGGTATTTTCTCCTAGTGACCTAGTCGCCCGCTGCTCAGGGAAGAAATAAGGGTTATACTCACTACATTCTGACTAACGTAGTCAGAAGAACACAGTAGATGTGAAAACATTAAGCACACCTTCCAGGGCACTCGAAATGATGCTGGTATATTCCCTGTTTTCTCTTAAGGTTCATTTCTGCAAGGTACTGAGTTTTAACCGTAGTCTGCCAAAATGTTTGAGTGGGATTCCTGCAGAGTCAGTGGTGCTGTTGACCCACTGAAGCCTATACTTATGTTGCCCGAGGCTGGGGTAAGAGTACTCAGTGCTCTGTAATTTACTTAATTCTGACTTGGGGTACTCTCCAGACATTCCATAATCTGATGCCTTGAGCTGCGGAGTAATTTACATAAATGTCACAACCAATGGCAGATGATTGCTGCCTCCCTTATTACTGATAGCAAGAAGTCTGAAGCATTTCTGAGGCCATACAGTGAACACATTTGAAACTTGTTTCCTATATTATTTTCAGTATTGGACTTCTGAATAGATGCTCAACCCAGAGTTTTTAATTGGACTTTGAGTACCTAATTCAAATTTTGAATCAGCTCTCTTTTAATTCCTTCTTCGTTCCCAGCTGTGTATCCTCCCAAAAGAGGTTTCTGTTCTTACTTTTCCTATGGAATCCTCTCTGTGCTTTCTCAAAAGAGTCAATGTTTTTTTTCCTCCCCTTTTTTCCTGTTCCCTGCACAGTCATATTTCTGTGTGTATCTTGTCACAGAGTGCTACTGTAGTATTGCTTTTCCCAGAAGTGCCACTGCAGCTTCTTTCCCCACACATTCTTTAGATTCTGTTAGTCCTTACGCTTTTTACTAGTAAGCGTTGCTGATAAGAGCGATTAAAAATTCTGTTCTCAAAGTAATATTTTAGTGTCACATAAAATCAAGCTTATATCATGCTATAAACAAGTGCTGGTCACAATATGAAGTGGTGGATAGAAAAGCAGCATGACAAACGGCACATTCGTGCCATAGTTGCTATGTGTCCTGTGGAAAGAGAAGAATTTTCTAGCTGGAAGAACTTAATACTAGGGAGCAGCTGATCAGAGAGAGACTTTCCTGATACAAGTTATTTTTGTGGCTTCTCATCCCAAGGAAAGTTCTCCCCTTGTGCCCAGACCCAAAATGTCTATTATAAATAACTGCCTGTATCAAGGCTGTCAAAACAAGAGAAACAATCAGATGCTATTCTAGGCTTGTTTGTTTGTTACAGGACTGAAATTTAATGGTATTTTAAGTAATGATATCAGACATTTAGAAAAACCCGAACTCTTGTAGCAAATTTTTTGTAGCTCTTAACTGAAAGCTGCTTTTAATTTAGGGAGGAATTTTCAAAAAGCCCCAGACAGAAGCCTGACTCAAAGTAGCAGTAGGAAATCCAGGACATCATCTGAACTGTAAAATGTTTGCCTTGCAGAGCATTCTACTTGCTTATTCAGCAAATACTGAGTTTTGTCTTCCATTTGCATGTGTCTCCTTTAAACTTGTTCCTGATTTCTTTCTTGTTTAGCAATGACTTTTCTTTTTAACTTGATGCAAGCTGATTCAATCTTTCTAATCTATACTCTGCTTTTACACTTTCCAGACTAAAATACAAGGGAAATCTCTTTCCAAACTCGAGGAAGTTAAATACAAACAAAGGACAGTCGTTCACCATTGAGTACCTTGCAGCCTACCTTGGGATGACTTTATACCTTCTATTGTAAAACTCCATACTTGTGAGACTTTAAAACAATTACCTATGTTTGCAAGGCCAAACCATATTGAGCTTATTACTGAACCTGCTTTGTAGAAGGCAGTTCTGAGATCGAGAAGCTGGCTGTTCTGAATGAATGCACTCTATATTTGACTGTCCAATAAAGTGTACTGAATGCTGAGCTTGGCTGTTAGTCTGTTCTTTGTGTAATCAATGTAGTTTTTTTGAAATATAGCGATCTCTTAAAGGGACATGATCAGGTTGCATAATACAGAGCTTTGATTTTTACTGAGCAATGAATAGACTTGTGCTTAAACCTAAACACAAAAAAAGGCTTGCACTAACATAAGGAAACCAAGAATTAGAATTGATCTGTTTAGTTTTTAAACGGATACAAAAGAATAAAATAAATTCTGACTATGTCTCTTTAAGCTCTTCCCTTTCCTTTCTGTTCCCACTTAGTGTACACTTTATTACAAACTTTATTTCCAGTTCTATTTTTTCACATGGTGAGTTGGTTCTAGTGGTAAATGTGCAATGATCACTTGGTATATAACTTTCTTATGTTAACTTGATCTTAGTGCATGTTTGCATGGTGATTGTGCATCTTTGTTGCTTTGTGCTGTTCGTTTTTCATGACCTGTCTCAGCTGAGTTTGAAGTTATGCATGATTGGGAAACACTGGGTTTTTCAGATTCTAAAGAGTCCGACCCACAGCAGTGTAGACAAGTCTGTAAGAGACAGCTGGGAAACGGTCAGTCATAAGTGGTTATATATCCAGTAAAGTGAGTGATGACCACTTAAAATTACCAAGTTATTTTCTTACTTGCCTACACTTAGTTTCAATAACGGTCCCCTGTTTTATTCTGCCCTGCAGACCTTACCTTCCTTGAGTGCTATGGCTCTTGCAGAGGTCACAGTGCATTCAACATAGCTTTAAAGAAAGCGGGGTGAACAGGGATGGCAGAGTACCTGTGACAGTGTAGAGATAAGCAACGGCACAAAACCCATCTGAAAACTAATCCCTTACTGGGCTCAGCGTTATTGTAGCTACTGCCAGCTGAGTTAGGCACCTTGAAAATAGCCCCAGGCAAACTGAAGGCACACCCTGGCATGCCCTGCTTCTAAGCTGCGAGCCTGATGGATAATAAACTCCTTAAGAGCTTCTAGGTACAGTATCAAATGTCTTATTGCCAGAGTGGTACTTCTGCTGCTGGGTGTGAACAGGGCAAGAATCCTGCTCCCTCTGATGCCCCTGAGTGCATCACCACCGGCCCTTTCAGCAGAGCGAGTTTGGAGCAACACTTGGTGGGGACATTGCTTATCCTCCTCTGCACTCCCACCTCTTGCAGTCACTTGCTTTAAGCCACAGTTTCTTTCCTTATTACACTGAAGCAGTTATGAAGATCAGTAATTAAGAATATGGTTTCCTCATCTTGTAAACATCTTTTTTTGGTGCCACATTTAGACAATATGGGGGGATTAATTATTGATTTCTTGACTTCGTAAAGTCTGATCCCAAAGCTTAGCTTTCAATTTTAAATTTAAATGAGGATGGTGGTAAAAAGTACAAGGTGAATTTGTGTTGCATGCACTTTACTCTCTCTATTATGTTAAATAAATCCTTAAAAGGTGATGAAGAAGAGACGGCTGAAGTCACTGAAGCAGAGGCAGCCACAGAAGAGGCTGATGCAGTCACTGCTGCTGGACCTGCAGCAGAGGATGAGAGTGCTGGGGTATCCCCAGAAACTGGAGGGGAGAATGATTTATCAGCTCCGGATGCATCCCCTGCTGTGGAGGAGACACAGCAGGAAGCTGCTGCTAATTCAGAAGCTGCTGCTAATTCAGAAGCTGCTGCAGTGCAAGGTTAACTTATGAATGCGTTTTTTGCGTGTGTGTTTGTGTTGTGGGGTCTAAAACTCCGCCTCTTACTACAGAGCATTAAGAACAAATGCCAGTGTTCATAATGGAGTTTGTCCTGCAGTGAAAACTAATTCAGGTGTTACCTAGACACATCATGAGCATAAGGTTATTAAGTTAATTAAATCAGTGTCTCTAAAAGCATGCTGCCTGTGGCACCAGAGTTACTGTCTAAAGCTAGTAGAATGAAAGGTTGGTTCACTACCCCCATTCTATTTCTCTTCTTTAAGATCTATGAAGGTGAGCATGCAATATAATCAGTTAAACAGTTGTTTCAGTGACCTGGTTTTTAAGGATTTGTTAAGGAATCTAAACAGCTTATTTAACTGGCCACTCCTGGGGTATTCACACTAAATAATTACAGCTGTTCTGTCAACGTAATTTCAACAGAATCTTACATGGCAATCAAAATGTTGTCATGATCTCAGTTTTAAGGACATAGCAGGCTAAAAATTTCAAAATTCCATAAAACATCAAATTAGTATTAAACACTTAAATTGATTAGTGACTACATATTCAGTGTTTTGTACTGTCAAGGCGTTTGAAATATTTTGGTTTACTATGCTTTTAAAAAAAAATCACAATAATACAAATGCAAACATATCCATAAATTCCACAAAATACAGGATTATAGTTTGATTTTTTTAGCACTTTTTTTTTTTTTTTTTTTTTTTTTAACTACTAACCTGTAAGGATAGAACAACGGCTTGTCCTCTTGCCTCTTGAAGTGTTCAGCTAAAGTTCTCAGGGACACACATAAAGCAATTGCAATTTCTCAGTCCATAGGAAAGCAGCAAACATTTGCGTCTGGTGTCTTCAGTTAAAAAAACCCCAAAACAACAACAACAAAAAAACTTGCCACCCTGTCATGAAAGAAACTTCATTTCAGTTCTTACTTTGGAAGGGAAGACTTCAGCGTGGCTATAGCAAGTATGAAAACAAATGAAGCTCTTCTCAGCTTGACTTACTCAGCTTGAATCTTTACTGCACACCTGTGTTTGTCTTACTTTGAAAAAACAAACATCTACTTGAAAGGATACATCTAAAACACAGGTCAAACTGACGTTAAAAGTATTCTGACTGCTAGTCCATGGGAGGTTATCATAGTACCTTGGAAGCTATTAGGAGATTCTGGTATTATTTTCTCCTTTTTCCATGGTGACTCCAGTGAGGAATGGATACATCTTCATTGCTTTTTTAACAAATGGACTTGAGAAATGGTGAAGCACATCAAATAGCTGGCTTTGTGAAAGGTATAGATATGAATGGGATTTTAATTCATGTGTGAATAGCTCCTGTGCTTGTCTGCAAAGCAATCCATTACAAATAACATTTAAAAACAATTCTTGATCCAATCTGCCAGAAGTAATATAGCTAATAAAAAGTACAAGTAAGTATATTTGTAGTGACTAATACTGTTTACATATAAAAAATATTTATAAGGTAATAGTTAAAATACCTACAGCCTTAAAAATTTCCATTTCTATGGAATATTTATACCATTCATTTAGAAAGGAAGTAGTCTGATACATGTTAAAGTTAGAGAACTAGAGCTGTTAAGAGTAATGTTTCAAAATGCCTTGCAGTGTTTACCTCTGTTGCTCTACAGAGCAATTGCAAAATTTCACTTTTAAGGAGTGGGAACTTGCTTGTGTCTAGAAGTGTTTGAATATTCCTTTCACAATGCTTGTCTAGGAATATTTGTTAATTGCTGGATAGGGTAGGATCTTCTGTACGGTAAATATTCCTGCCACTCTTTTGAAGAGGAAGCAGCTAGGATCTTCACTGACAAACGTTGTACGTAACTGGATTAAGTCTCAGGATCTAATTCTAGACATGGCAACTTCATGTAGTTAATGGTCACTATTTTATAAGAGGAAATATGTCTTCTATTAGTTACTGCTGGTGTTGACTGGAAGTGGATGTGCCATTTAGAAATTACTGTATTCTTAGTTGTATTTTCTCTGGCAACATACTTACTGAAGAAAACAGCATTAGAACAACACTTCCCTCACGCTGATATTTACAAGGGACTCTGAGGGTCATTTTGGGTGTCCTCTATCAAATTTTGCTGCAGGGATTGCTCTTTGCTGTGTGGTAAAGCTGGCGGAAGTAAATCTGTGGGATATAAACTTGTTGAGAAAATTCTGCATGTTGCTTCGCACATCTTCCTCCCAAACTCTAATTAGGGTATCAGGTATTAGCTGAAGCATTTCATACCCGGCAGCAGAAGCTGTACTTCCCCTCAGCAATTGCTGGTTTCTAAAGGAGGGGAGCGTTCTCCCCGGTGTAGCGCTGCCTGATCTCTTTGGCGTTTCTGGGGTGTTAAAACTTGCTTCTGAGAAGGGTTCACTCGTGCCACTGGTCACCAGCGAAGACTGGTGCAAATAACTTCGTAGCAGGTGCGCCTAAGGGAAGGGTAAACCCTGCGGATCTCAGGAGCAGTTCCCCCGGGCTTCCCCCACCGGGACTGAGCCGCCGTGGCTGCTGCGTGTCCCGAGTGCTGCCCGGGGGGCTGCTGCCGCCGGGCCCCGCGGCATGCCTTCGGCTGCTCCGCTCCCCCTGACAGCCACGACCTCGTCCCTCGGGTCTCCCAGGGACTGACGGGGGGCCCTGGCTCTTGACTGAGTGAAGAGTTTGACAAGCAGCACACAGTCTTACACGCACAGGCTTACACCAGTATCGCTTTCCTTTAGGCTGTGTGAAAGCTAGTTTCCATCGGCATAATGCTTAATCAGAAGACGATATTATGGTTCAAAAGTTCTCTGCTCTCTATGTAGCGCTTTGTTCAGGGTTTAGCTGCAGTCAAAAGCTATTTGTGTTTTTTTTAAAAAAGAGATTATAATTAAAATCCTTCTGGAAGTACCTTTCAGTTTTGTATTTAACCATCTTTATCATTTGCATTCTCTCCATTTAGAGGAAGAAAGTGTAACCACATTTTTACCGAGGTAGAGAAGGATTTTTCTTTCAGAACTGTCCAGGAAAATACAGGCTTACTTTGAAAAATAATACTTCTAAAATAACTCTTATTAGTTTTGTTGGTAGCTTGATGTTACTTCTCCAGATGAAGGTGCAAGTATTTTTACTGTTACCAGTAAACCTCTGCTTTTTCAAATGCAATTGTTTCTTTTAATCTTTAAGGCTTTCTGTAATATGTTTGGAAGGGCAAGGTGTCAATGCATGCTTGTCACCAGCTCCAGTATACATAAATATGTATGTGTGATTATATATGGATGTGAAAAAAAAACCCAAACCAAACAAAAAAACCCCAGCCCTAACACTAGAGGTAGGTACTTGATCAGAGTAATTTCAACTTTAGGAAGTTAATTACAGTGGTACATGGCTGGAATTTTCTTCTTGCCTCAATTTAAGCAATTTACAACCCACTACAGGTATCTGGAATTCCGTGAAATACTGTTGACAAAAAAAGCACTGTGCTATGTTACTCTGTTCCCAAGGTTTTAGCTCCCTCTAAATTCTAGTGTTCTGCACCTTTTTATTACTTGAGCTGTCACTCTTGGTTACTGCCTAATGTTGGTAAGCCTCCTGCTGTTCTCCTACTGTACTCTCTGGGGTGAATTAAGATCAATTTTTCTTCAGATAGAACAAATGCTATAAAATGCACAGATGGGCAAAATGCTATTTGGATTAGGCAGCGTCACTGCATCTGTGGCTTCTAGTTTTTGGATTGTCACTATAAACTTTTCTCCAAACTCTTGTACTGAGGCTTGAGATTTTGGCATTATCACCTGGAATGGCAAAAGCAGTTAGCTGAAACCCATGCTTTCTTGGACTCCTAACTTCTGTAGCGTAGGTTCTTTCCTAAGTTTGTAAGTATTGAAGGATGTGATCTCTTCTCTGTTGTTTCAAATGCTGAGTGAGTAACTAGGTTTGGAGAGGATTAGTGTGCGAATGTGCCAACGTTTTTCATGTTAAGCTCTGAATGGCATTACAGTGCCAGTTGTCTGCAGCCTAGAGAAACAAATCTAGGCTGCACTGGACAGGGGTTACTGCTTTCTGGACAGGACATTTGCTGACCTGATCGCACAGTGATGCCAGACAGAAATACCCAATGTGATCAGTGTAGATCGTTTTTGCTTGGTAAGTTACCAAACTCCGGGACACTGGTGACACTTTGGGAGTATTTTGAAGATTGCTGAAAACTCCTCAAAGTAATTTGCTCACACTTATTCAGAGGCTTTCAGAATGATGTTGCTCAGTAGAACAAACATATCCTTCTAGGCAGTTGTTTGTGTGAGATGGAAGAAGGAGAAGAAGCTGTCCAGCCTGCAGCTCTTTACAACCTCAGGTGCTGGGGCAAGATGCAGTGTGGATAGGGCTGGACAGACCATATCCCTTACGATTATACCACTTGGTCACAGTTGGACCTTGTGAGAATAACTATGCTTTTTTTTTTTTTTCCTTCAGCCTCGCTTGTAGAGATCAGAAGCGTCTCATAACAGGTCTATTACCTGGCATGAAATAGGTCTATGGGTGTAGATTCATGTAACAGAAGACAGAATCAGGGAAAGTATTCACATCATCTGACAAAATCTGTGCTTAATTACCAACTGTAATAAAGGTTCTCTATCCTGAATCTCCTTTTAGAGGATTTTTTTTTCTCTTCATTGATTGTGGTAGACTAAGCTAGCTAAATTAGGCTCTAGAAAGTTGAATTATGTGATTATTATCCTACTGGGGAAGTATCCATATCTGTGGAACTTCTGTTGAATGTTTCTGCTTCACATTTATCACTTTCTTTATCTGTCCCTTGGGCTGCTGTGTTTATCTTGCATCTCTCTGATTGCCATACATTGGCCACCAGTGTCTCCTCTCTTCTGTTTTTCCTTCATAAAACTGAGCTTGTAGATGAGTTGTCATAGCATAACTGGAAAATCTGTGTAGGAACAATGTGAACAATATTTATAAAAGACATCTGTAAAAGT